GCGCATTCCTTCTTCAGTGAACAAGGACAACGGATATGATGCTAGCTCATAAGCAAAATGCTGCTTCAATTGCTCATCGGATTGTTTAGTAATGCAGACCCTCTGGAATATGGTGAGATGATCAACATTAACTTTTTTATTCAACACTTTCACAGATGTGGTACTGATCCCAAGGTCATCACTTTATCCTTTCTTTTAAAAGTTACTTTATCAAAGGTGTTATCAACGATTTTTTTACAATAAATTAATAATTAATTTTTTTTTATTTTTACACATTCACACAATTTTTTCGTTTTTGAAGAAAATACGACACCTAGCGACCCTATTCTTACATCAAATTAAAGCTGAATAAATTCTCTACAACTTAATTCATCATGACTTTTCTCTAGAGCCATTACTTTAGGCGATACGTGCTTTGGAATGTGACCGTACTCATACATTTTTAGTTTTTCAAAAAAATAGCCGATATTTGATTGGCTGTATTTCGACAACGAATTGGCCTAGAGGGTTCGGGTTTGGTTTAAGTTGTCGGAAATTTAGTTGACTTTATAAAAGTATAGAACAATTAAATTTGAAAAATGCTTTCTTAACATTGTCTTTAAAAAAAAACTGAAATAAGTTCCAAAATTTTGAGTTTTTTTGAGTATCACGGGAGTAGTACAGGGTTTTGAGGGTTGCAAAATTGGGCATAACTTAGTCTCATGGGTCCTAACAATATATTAAAAAATGGTAGATACAGTGCCGTTTGCGATGTTTGCCTTTTTAAATGTCTTAGATGACTGGCCTAACGCTCTCATACACAATTCTAATATTTATTTTTTAAACGAACAGTGTTGTAAGCAATGAATCAATTCTCAAAATTCTTTGGATGAAGTAGAAACGAACGAGTCGCATTGCAATCCGATTCATTTCCCACGACTTTTTTTTACGATTCGTTCATTCAAATTTTATGAATCTCTGAATTCGGCATATATTGCTGGCTACGTTATGTGTATATATTGTTTATCATATGAGACAACGATAATGGTAGTAGTTTATAGTGTGTCTGCTGTTTTTCAATAAAAGTTTACTAAGTTTTATAGTAAGAGCTAGCAACGTTTTCAAGAAAGTATTTTAAGAAAGCTGGCTCTTTAATATAGTTTTTGCTATGCTCTCTGGAACAGCGTACTAGACGTCTGGCTGCCGATAAACGTTGCGTACTGCGCATTGATAGAAGATTCTGTATTTTTTATTTAGTCTGTTAAATTCTAGTATTAAATATAAATCGAACAAAGTCTTCTTAGCGCGACGCCGAAAACGTTCCGCCTATAAAGCGAGAAGTCCCGAGTTAAATACCGGCTCGGGGTAAACTTTTTTTTTTATTTTATTTTCATTTATATTCTGATAGTAAAGTATTAAATAATTGTTTTTTTTTAATCACTAGAATTATTTATTATGTACTAAGAATATAAGAATAAATAATAATTATTTAATACTTTACTACATAAACGAAAATAAAATAAAATAAAATTTAGTCTGAGCCGGTATTGAACTCGGGACTTCTCGCTTTATAAGCGGAACGTTTTCGCGCCGCGCTATGGAGACTTGTTTGATTTATATTCAATACTTGAATTTAAAGGACTAAATAAAAATATAGGAACTTCTTTCATTGCGTAGTAGTGAACGCAACGTCTATCGGCAGCCAGACGGCCTGCCCGCTGCTCCAGAGAGCATAGTAAAAGATATATCAAAGATCCAGCTTTCTTAAAATACTTGTTTTCCAGACGTTACTAGCTCTAGTACTATCACATTTACTCCTCAAGTCGAGTCCTTGTGTTCTAAACAATAATACAACACAGTGCTTGTCACGACAATCAATTCAACGAACCACGTTCAATTGAACGAACCGTATCCTAAGCCGTGAATCGAATGGATTCGTTCACCATTCGTCTTTAATGCTCGTTCAAGTGAATGACTCGTTCAATATTTGATTGAACGCCCACCTCTAGTGTATAGGCAATATCAATATCCAATTTCGTAGGCACGACCGTTGGACCAACCAAGTTGAACACGTGTAGGCCGCATTGCGATTTGAATGTTATTTAGTTTATTATTTTTGTGTATGATATTGATCACATGATTTTATTATTAATCGGTTTACAACGTTCTACGTTTTCCGATGTCTGTCTGTCTCTCTCTCCATGCACCGTCTCCGAGGACTCTTTGCTCCATAAACGTATCCAATCTTTACCTGCTAAATTCTCGGCCTACCCGGTTTTCTTCTTTCTGCAGGTTTCCTGTTGATAATTTGCTTTCGGATTCGTATTTCTGCCATTCTCTGGACATGTTCGTATCATATGAGTTATCTATTCTTTATCTCGTCCACTACTGTATACATATCTCTTAATGCGTTCATTAATTATTCGTTCGAGTCTTGATTTGTCTGCTGCTCTCCTCCAAAACTCCATCTTTATAGCTTCTAGCATTCATTTTGTTGTATCCTGTATTGACTACACTTCACAGCTGTATGTAATAATTTATTATACTTTTGATGATGGTATTATATATTAATGGTTTGTCCCTGTTGGATGGTATTATATATCAATGGCTTCCGAGATGGCTTCTAATTGATCATTATAAGGATGTTAAAAAAGTACATACTTTTTAACATGTGTACTTTTTTAATAAGTATTTTAAAAATATCAATTATGTTCCGGAAACAGATTTAAAATATGTAGTCATTATAATTTTTATTTTTATGTTTTAAATAAATGATCTAAGTAACTTTTTTCTTTGTATTCGTTTAGCTCAAATGTTCCATTGGCCCATTTTAATTAAATAGTGTGATAAACACGCCAACTTATTTATTGAATAATAAAACTATAGTTTTTTATTTGAGTTATAAGTACTGAAATAGCACAGTAATGACTACAGGCAAATAAATACTCCCGGCAATCAATAGCTCTTGAATTCACTCTTCTCTTGATAATTACTATTTTAATCGATTAACTCACTATTTCAGTCTTGCATAGAGGCTACTATTAGGTTCTTAGTTACTTAGGTTATAGAGGCTACTACTAGGTTATGATATTTTAGAAATGCCGGTCTCCATACCGATACGGCCGTAATACTGTGGGTGCTCTTCATAGAGAATACTTTGAAAAACAAAGTCTGTTTTACTGTTTTTTCTACCTCTACAGGGTATCACAATATTCCGTGGACATAGAACTACTCCATTTTTCGGAATCAAAATAAGTTCATTGAATATAAACATGTAGAATGTAGAATGTTTATGAGGTGTGTTCCCCTTTCTTGAGTTATAACGAGTTATAACTCATCATACAGTCCCAGGGCTTTAACAAAAGCCAGTATCTGAGACGGCTCCACAGAGGCTAGCTCTCCATCTTCGACGTCAGCCGTACCAAAGTTCATGGCACGAATGGTCGTCGTCTCGGTGCACTCAGGGATAAGATGTTTCCCCATTGTCCCCACAGAATCTGCATTCACCGTTATTTCTCAGCTTCAGCCTACTGAGGTGTTCGTTGAGGAGACAGTGTCCTCTTAGAAACCCCGTGACAATCCGAAGATTGTTTTTACTTAAATCAAGGAAAAGCTTTGATTTTTCTCGGTCGTAAGTTCTGATGAACTTTTTCGAATGTCTTAGACCGTTGGAGGACACCCATTCAAAATATAAACATAATTTACCTGTATACAAAAATGTTTTTATACATTGTCCGTTAGAGGACATCAAACAAAAAAAACACATTTTTTTAAGATATTTTAAGAACCGTTATTGCGATTTGAATGAGATATGGTATACCTATGTTTTGTTAAGTGATTTAACATTTGACTTTCACAGAAATCATGAAAAAGTCCGGGAAGTATAAATTTTAGTATAAATTATTTTCAATTTCACCGACGACCGATTTCTTTTCGTAAAAAAAATTTTTTTCTAATTATTTTGGCAACTAATGAAAGAGGATAACCAATACACTCAGCTATATTCCTATTGTAATTTTTTCTATTTCATATCTTTCGTTGGTAAGTGGAAAACTAAGTAGGTTATGAACTAAGAAATTTAACAATCACAATCATAAGACTTGTGAGCAATTGGTCACTTCCTGTTTTACCGGAAATGACTACAACTTTTGATTTTTAAATGGCACCCTCGGTAATTTTTACTTTTTTCGATAGAAAATGACATTCTGAATAGAATGACATATCATATGTCAACTTTTGACATTCTCGCTTAATAAAAAGTCGTATTTTAAATTTCAATCTAGTGTGCTATGGCTATGTTAAAAACACTAAATCAAGGAGCCTTGGAAAAATAGATTTGACCGTCTAATGTGCTTAGTGTCTTATCCTGACCGGTTAAAAGATGTCCAAATCGAATTTTTTATCATATCTCAATTTCTTCAAATGGAAGGAGGGTGGCTCATTAGCATATTTGGAAAAAGCATTTTTACGAATAATTTGATACCACACACTTGTTGGTATCAAACGTACGGTAATTTGATACCACAAATTGTCATTATGAACCGGATGTCATAATTTCAAATAAACCATTTGCAAAAATGTCAAAAGTTGACATATGATATGTCTCATTCTATCAGAGTGTTATTTTCTATTGAATAAAGTAAAAAAAAATACCGTGGGTACCATTTAAAAATCAAGTTGTAGACATTTCCGGTGGAACTCCATCAATCCTAATTTATGTCATATATTAGAGAACAACGGCATACGGTCGAGTCGGCCTACAAACACGTAAACGTTTACGTACGCATGCGCATTTCTTGTATTTTCTATTTTTTATACACGTAAAAGATTCTTTACGTCTACGTATACGTGCCAGGAGCGGCCGACTCAACCGTATGCCGTTGTTCTCTATTAACATACCAAATTTCGTTTTTTTTTTCATCTGAAAAAATAAAAAAGTAGGTTGTATCCTTGAAAAGTTTTTGGTAGAATATAGATTATTTGTTGTGTATTTATATATCAGAATTGTTTATTTTTCACAGAACAGGGGCGATAAGGTCACCTGGAAAGAAAGCCCTACTTCTGGAAGCTTCAAAAACTCTTAGCAGCGAAGAGTCAAAAAAGGAAATTCATGAAGTCAGTGGAGACGTCATATGCCCTTCACAAGTTATGGGTATCGATCATCTTAGAGATCCCAGACTTAATAAGGTATAAAAATACATAGTAATGATTTTGAGATCTTCCATGAAATATTAAAGTTACACTCCAAAAAAATCTCGACATAGAACGAAAGTATACCGATTATTATTAGTAGAAATTATAGAAATAAGCAAACACAGCTATTAAATTGAAGGATTTGAAAAAGTATACTTTGAAACTTTCACAAAATTTGTATTAAAATGACCATCTGTCCGTCAGAGCGCTCCATTCGGGTACCCCTATCCACTGCCGAGTTTGGTTCCAATCGACCCATAATTAAGAAAAATCCTGATGATTTCGTCCATTTAGAGGTATTGATTCGAAACGTCATCCTGTAGCCCATCCCCAATTATGCCAAAATCGACCCACATTTTTCTTCAATATCAAATCCTTAGTCCCACCCTGATGAAGATGTAAACGAAACGTCGCGCGTCGTATCCAACTTTGCAACTACAACCAAATTTCGATTTTGTTTTTTTTTCGCGATCGGACGACATTAACTTTTGACGTTTCTTATGTCAAAATTAACTGTTACAGTGATACGTGTTGTACACAATCAAGTTGGCCTTAGTCCAGTCTATTGATATACCAAATTTCATTTAAATCGAACGATTTTTTTTAAGCCGTAGGTTGCCCTTACCACTTTTCCTCTTGCCTGTGTGTCGCTTGTCGTGACAGAGCCTTGAATGTTTACTATCAGCGCGCGTAAATAAGTTCCACTTCAAAAATGTTTCTATTATATCTAAATTGTATCGTCTATTTGATCACTAATGTATTTATTCGTGCGACTCGGCAAGAGAGAGTCTCGGGTCGGCATTTACTGTTTACGTCTAGGAGTGAATAGCTAAGGCGATCTTGTACATCTTATTGTATTGAACATATTGACTCTTTGTACACACGGAAATTCACACCCAAAGCCGGTCTTTAAGGACCGTGTATAAGTTTTCTATATATCATAGAAGAAAAATAGTCAATTCATCATACTAAATATTATTATAATTATTAATATTTATTGGTATTAAAAAGTGTAGTATTTTTTTAATTTAGTTTAGTTAGTATTTTGAATAAAACAATTTACCGTTATTAGATAAATTGAAAACTGATTTTCAGTTTGATGAACTGATTTTCAGTCAAGAGGCTTTTGCATGAAAAGAAAAAATATTTAGAAGAAAATATTTTATTTTTTTTATTTTTCCTAAGAATAAAAAAATCTGAAATAAATACTCTAATATACGGGGTATTAAACTTACATTTCTGACTATATACTTAGATGTTTTAAACATTTGGCAGTGCTTCACATGTATTTTAAGGTGCCAAAATAAATGAAATCAATTTTTTGAAATAGAACAAAGAAAAAAAAGTGATGGTGAATTGTATGAATTGCACCAGCATAAGTTAAAAATTTGCACTGGTAGTTTTATGCTTATGATAGAGACATTGCTTAAAATAATAATTACTTTATTTTATTATACCTGGAGCAACTCAATATATAAATTAATGATTAACATTTTTTTACAAATATTACCACTTAAATTAAAGTATTACAGTGTGTTTAGTGTTACAACACATAAATCTTAATTAAACTTCCACCAAATTTTGTAAAAAGGCTTTATTGTTATCTCGAATAAATAATGTTTTGTTGTTAACATTTTAATAGAATTAGAAGATAAATAGAGTTAGCAAAATCCTCATTCCCAATGATTATAATTTTTTGTATCGTATATTTAATATTTGATTGAAAGAATTGAAGATACGCAATCTAATGGGCGAATTCGTGACGAGGCTGATTTGATTTCCCCTTACGTCTCAAGTGCTGTATGGTTGAGACACGAATCGTTCTACGATCAACGCATAAAACACTTGTTTTCGATGTGGATCTGAAAGCGACAGTGTGGCCATATTAAAATGTGTAATATCTGTAATACATTTGACGAAAATATCTTTAGATGACAAATCCGCGTTTATGTATTGAAAATTTATTCGTGTTAAACATAGAATAAACAACAAAAATAAAAATTATTTTATAGTTACTGAATATGTCGTACGAACGAAAAAAAAATCGTTTAGTTGGCTTGGAAATGACGATTATTGACATTTACCATAACATTTTACATATAAAATAACAGCGATCTTCATTTCCAAACCAACTCTCATATAATATTATATTACATTGTTTATAGATAGAAAGTCCGTTATTAACGTACTGTACTCAAAATCCGTAAATCTACGGATTAATCGGTAGTTCTGGCAACACTGTCTCCGGCAACCACTCACTCTGTCGACTGAAAGCAGAACTAGTGTACAGTATTATTTATCCACTGCGCTGTAAACAACTATCAGCGCGCTGCGGCGCAGAGCTAAACTAAATCTCTGAGTTCTCGGACAGGCTGACGGTAACGCCAGCTACATCTCGGATATGTTTTGTGTCACGAAATCGCCAGTAAGGTTGCGCATCTTCCTATTTCTTTAATCAACGATATTATTTTTAAATGCCACGTTTTGCGTCCTAAGATTTAAACTAAGATAAAATATCTAGAATTGGAAATTTAGAATTATTAAAAAGTTTTTCAAAAGTTATAAATCAGATCTTATTTAGGTTTATAAACAAACAAGATCGGATTTTGAAAAGTTTTTGTTCTAAAAAGTTTATTAAAAAATGAGCTCACAATAAAAGTCTAAATAGTTAAACAAATTTAGAAATGCCATTATTAATTATTAGTGAATGTTTTCTTAAAGATAATTGTAAATAATGTATGTTATACGATTAAGGTCCAAAATAAAGTTATCTTCAATATTACAGGGTTAATCTCGGAAATAACACAACCAAACAATAACTTGTTAATAAAAAATGTCTATACCTATGTGGCGGATTCATCTATCCAAAAAAATCCTTTTGGGTTTTTCGCCACTGCAAGAAAAATCAACAAAATAAAATAGGTATTTTTTGTAAACACTTCTGCGTTAAACCTAAACGGACGCTGCTTGTCAGAAGTTGTGTTTACAGTAATAAAAATTTGCCTAACAAAGAAAAAAATGCTTAACGTTTCGGAAAGTTTTCTCTTTCCGTCGTCGGAAGCAAAAAATATAAAGAATCAAGAAAAAAACTATTTAAAATATTTAAATTGAACTATTCGAGAACACTTTACTTTTTAAAACAGATACGTCTACAAGAAATCGTTGACGTTCTGTTAAAATGACATTATATTAAGTTAAACTTCAAAATTAACAATTACTACCTGATAATTACTTAATAAGGTAAAACCAAAAAGCCCAAACTTCTGTATGATTATTTTTAAATTTTACGTATGTTATGTTTATTTATGTAATGTTCTTTAAAATCAAAGAAGCGATTGCCATACATTACTAACATCTACAGATGCATGAGCAATACATTTATTTTTATTAGATTGAATTAAAAAAGCCTCTTTTATTTTTCTTTTAGAGGCTATCGCTTCTTTCATTATAATTTTGGCGTTATTAAAATTTATTCTGTGCCCTGTGTCCCATGAATGCTGACAAATCTTAGATTTGTGAAAATCTCCCTTTCTTAAATAATCTTTATGTTCTTTAATTCTAACATTTAAAGTAACATTTTGTAACAAAATACACTTAGATCAATTTTATCACATACTAAACCAATGAATACAGAACAACAAACAAAAAATGTAATATACCAAATACCCTGTGAATACGATAAATTTTACATTGGTGAAACATCTAGACCTTTAAATGTTAGAATCAAAATCAGCTTTTTACGTCAAGCGCTTTAAGCAGGATCGTGATTAATCAATGACCAAACCAGATTTTTTGAAACACCCTGTATACATTTTTAAAAAATCTTAAAATATGTAAAAAAACAAAATAAAATATACGTTTTTAAGCGTTTTTCGGAAACTTGACCGTTTACTTAAATAAAAAATATTGTAATATTTAAGGGGTGGTTTCACCGTCTTTGAACTGGAATTTCGAAAAATCCCTTCTTATCGAACCTCTACACCCTAGAATCAACCTGTATGCCAAAATTGAGCTTCTTACGTTGAGTGGTTTGAGCAGGATCGTGATTAATCAGTATGTCAGTTACTTAAGGATTTTATATATTTTAGTAAAATACCGCTGACAAATTGGTCTCCGTTGGATCAACGTTGCGGTCGTGTTTACAAAAAATAACTATTTTATTTTATAATTTTTTTTCTAGTGGCGAAAAGTGGCCCAGAAGTATTTTTCGAAGATAAAGATAATCGATACTGCAATTATTTTGAAAATATCAGTAATAACAAAAACACTCAGTAAATAACTTATTTTTGGAATTTCAACTTTTTTGCAAATATGTAATAATAAATTAGGTACTTGACATTTTTTCTCAGATAGTTAAAATACATATTATGCTACTTTCCCACATAATGAAAAATAACTATAAACCCCTTAAATCTATTATATTCAAACAATATTTGTACATTGATAAGCATTTTTTCTAATCATATAGTAATTATTTAATTTAATTTAATACTATTTAACGTAGCTGTCATAGCATTATAAGATGTACAATTTTACTAACATGATTGTTATATTTATTTAATAATGAAATTAGCCTTTATTTCATTATTAAATAAATTTTGTTTTTACCAGAAAAAAAAATATACATTTTTGTCTGAGGTGATAAATGAAAAATAATCGTAAACTATTATTTAGGTTAGGTTAGGTTAGGTTGCTGGGGTTAAGCTGTCCAAGACACAAACAATATTTTTCTTCGGACGATGCGGCGCCTGCGGCTCTGGCCAGTGTGCGCCTACCGTAAGCTGCATTTTTTGTCGGTTAGACAAATTGAAGGTACTAATATCACAGATTAGGTATACTATATGTATACTGATAAAAATCTTATCCCTAATTCGTGGTACGAAAATTGTTTTTTATGACGATGTGCAAACGAGTAAAATTTCCTGTGCGCAAAAATAAACTCGCGTAAAATAACAATAAACAGCGTAATAGAGAGATATCGCTAAACTGAATAGCGTGCATGGACGTTAATAAGGTCAGGTGTTATTTCCTTTACGTGAGGTGGTATTAACTCTCTTCATTTATAGTTATCGGATCGGAAAGAATTCTGTTCGCGTCGCGTCCGCTATTTAAACTTAACCTAACTTTGAATTTAAAACTTTGAAATTGTTTTGTTTACTAGGTATTTTAAAACTAAAGGGCTAATGTGCTTATTTCCAGTGCTTTATTGTTCAACGTCTGCCAGTGGGTTTAGGGCAACAAGCAACAAATTCTCTTAGAAGGGCTAAGTCGTCATCTGCTGTAAACCTAAGCCTCTTTATAGGTTCTTTAATATTGGAAGAGGTGGAATCCATATTTTGTGCCATATTTATTTAATTAAAACTATTCCCAGCTACTTAAATATCAAATTACCTAATAAAACTAAAGTAATAATTCAAAACAATTCAAACATAACCTAAAATAAAATCTCTCGCCGGCCGGCCCCGGTTGTCAAATACCCGCACATGCCCATTTAAGCAATTTTTAAACGTTATTTAGAAATAGCGCTTGGTGTAATTGATCCGCAAATTACATCAGGCAGTAACGTTATTAGCGGGTGTTGCGTTAAAAATTGACTCGGGAATATCGTAACCATGATAAGGTACGCGTAAATACTGCATGACGCTATTCGGTTTTCCGATATCTCTCTAATAATTATGCCGGTCAGGCGCTGTGCACAATTTTAGAGGCCATAAGTGGGCATGGTATGTGCGCAAACTAGTAATCTAACTAGTGCCCGATTTCGAAAATTGGAACTACGAAAACCAATAAAGAAAAAACAATTATAATCTGTGAAATCTGTGCTAATATGCTGGTTTCCTTTTGGATCTACGCAGTGGTGTTTACAATAAATCACTTTTTTATTTTGTCGACTTTTCTTCGTCGATATCGTCATATAAAGTACGTCTGCTGGATCTATGTCTATGAAAGGAATGCGGACAAAAGACATTTAAATAAATAGCAATATATTTTATACGTCGACTTGACGAGTACGTCACCGCAAATCGCTCCGCTCACTCATTTTATTGGCTACTTTTGCAAATTTGTCGAATTTTTATTGATGGGACGCGTCGTCTAATTTTTTACGAAAAACATCCAGAGAATATAGTTTTCCCTCTCGCGGATACACCGTAGCTACAGAACGGACAGACGTACTGTATAATTCATATATTTGGGCGAGTTCTCTAAAATTAACTCGACCAGAAGCTCCTGGTCAGTAGTAAAATGGTCCAGTTTCTGAAAATTCTTAAATAAGTTAAAATTAAATGTCTGTTTACGGTCGCAGTCATCTAAGTTTTTTTTCTTACAACCTTGGATTAATTACTACCGACACACTTGAATGAGAACACGTAATCAAATTTCACAAAAATGTACAATTTTAGACAAAATTCATTTAAAGCAATATTCCGGAAAAAAATTAATTAGTTAATAGTGATTGGTTGATTTTTTTTAGAAAACCATAGGTATTAGGAATACCAATATGGAAATACAACACCAAACATACTTTTGCAAAGTACAGAACATTATTGTATTCATTCGCATTGTGCATCGTTTAACTGAACATAGGAAATCCCGCGTAAAATTTAAACAGGATAATCGTTTTCCATTTATATAAACGATTTTTGTTCCCCTATTGTTAAGGTACCAGATGTGTCCATCTACAAACGTGTTAAAGCTAACCGCATTTCATTGCAAATATACCCTTAAAATGAAAGTGTGTCCATCTCTTGTCATGTCACACTGTACAGGGTGGGTGAAATTGGACGATTTTAAAGAGAAACACCCTGTTCTACAGGAGATAACATGATGGTGAAAACAACAGTTGTAACATTTAGAGAATTTAAAGAAAATACCAAGGGAGAAAGTTCTAAAGTGAAAAAACGGCTTTAAATATACAAAATTAATTTTGTACGTGTCCTCAGATTTTACACATTTTCGGGGGCGTAACTTGAGCTTTTGGGGGCCCCTGAGTAAAGAACAAAATACTCACAACCAAAATAATGTATATTATTTATTTAATTTTTTTTTTGAAGGGCTCTGCGGGGCTCCGGTGCTTCGCACCGAGCTGTCCTATGGTAGCTGCGCCACTGCTTAATATTTTACATATTCTACATTTTCAACGCACTTTTCTACATACACGTAGAATAATTTTCTACGCGTCGTTACCCAACCCTGAGCATGGAAAGAGTCTTTTTGTTTTTTGTCAAAATAAATATAATGAAAGGTTATCGAAGTTATTTTATTATACAGGGTGTTTCAAGAAACATGTGCCGTCTCTCGTGGGGAGATTCCTCACGTAAAAATAAGATTTATTTTTCACATCAACATAAGTCCGATTCTGCGTTGTTTCGTAGCTACAGGGTGTTAAAATCTTAATATGTTTTCGATTTATTTTTTCTTCCAAGTACTACTGATTCGAATTAAATTTTGACGGTAAAAGTTACTATAAGTGCTACATATTTTAATGCTAAAATAGTGTCGACTAATTTATCAGGGACGTGCATATGGGTTATCACTGGAATATTAAAAAAAAAAACGTGCGCCACTGACTTTTTTCTTTTGATGTCAGAATTATGTAGTCCCTTTAATGCCAATTAAATGTTCTCTTGATATTTTGTTGAATTCGGCCTCCTATATATAAACCCAATTTTATTAATCACAATAATAAAATTAAAATAAAATAAAATTAATAAATTATATATTTTACCTCATTTATTATTAAATATTATGACTATTAGTCCAACCTACAGCAATTTCAATTAAAAAAATAATGGTATTTAAAATAATTACAAAAAACCTAATTTTAAAAAGTTTTAACATCCTGTAACTCTAAAATTATCCATTTCCATACCCATGTTTATAGGAACTTTTTTCATATTTTGTGATGAGGGATCAATGAGTACTTATTTAAAACTTTCGCAGGAATCGAATTGACAAAATATCAAGAGAGGATGAGGCCGAAATTCACAAAATATCAAGAGACAGCTTTTAAATATGTCGCATTTATAGTAACGTTTATCCTCAAAATTTCATTCCAAACGCTAAAAGTGCTTGGAAGAAAATTATAATAAATCGAAAAAATATTAACACTTAACACCGTGTATATAGTTACCAAACAAAGCAGCATTGGACCTATGTTGATATGAAAAATAAATCTTATTTTTACGTGAGGAATCTCCCCACTAGAGATGGCACATGTTTTTTGAATCACCCTGTATAAGTTTTAGTTTATTACACTGATCACACTTACTGTTCTTAAGTCTTATTTTTATTCTATTAATATTTTATTGCTACAGGGGTTAGCATTCACATTGGAAGAGCGTCAGGCTTTGGGTATTCATGGCCTCCAACCGGCCCGTTTCAAAACGCAAGAGGAGCAGCTGGAACTTTGCAGGATATCCATTGATCGATACCAAGAAGACCTGAACAAGTATCTGTACCTGACAGAACTACACGATCGAAATGAAAAATTATTTTTCCGACTATTGACGGAAAATATCGAAGCTCTTATGCCAATAGTGTACACACCAACTGTAGGATTGGCTTGTCAAAAGTTTGGACTGATCTATAGAAGACCCAGGGGACTATTTATCACCATTAATGATATAGGACATGTTTTTGAAGTCCTTAGAAACTGGTACATAGAAAGCGTTTTTGGTAATTTTATTGTCTTGATTTTGTGTTTATAAATAAAAATCTATCATTCTATGGTAAGGTTGGTTGGGTTATAACTTAATAATAACTATAAAAGATCTTACAAATAAAATTATTGAAAAAATAATGATTTAAATATACAGTATGTATAATTTATAGTGATTCTGAGAAGATCGTCAAAATCCCAGCTTAAAATAATACAATTGCCACCATATTAATTATAAGATTTATATCTATTCTAATAGTTCATAAAAAATATTTTTCTAGAGTAAATTTTTTTCTAAATATTTTCTTATTTTGATTTTAAAAAGGTCTCTCATAAAATATCTATTTCTGACTGACAGCCATAGCTGACTGACGTTTCGTCTCGTAAATCAATGTTGTTATACCAGATGTCGATATAAAAATTATTATTTTATGTATTCCCTAAATATTTTATATATTCTGCGTGTATATTCATAAAATCAATTGCCAGTGACTATTCTATAAAAGTTAAATGTTGTTTTTCTATAACCATTCTTGTTTGTTAGAATGCATATTATACTTTTTGAATTAACTTGATTAATAAGATATTATACAATATTTTTATCCGTATTTATCTGTTTAAATCGAAAGTTTGCTTATTATCAAGATGAAGAGAATATTTAGAATCGTCGGTTGGCCATATTATCTACAGATTATAATTTTCATGCAATGTTCACTAGACACTGATACTGTAACCTAGTAATGTAACAGTGATGCAACGAATATTCGCATATTTTTTGATATTCGTATTCGCCTTTGTGAAGTTCATGCGTATATAGTAAACGCCACGAATGTTTGGGAGTGATTCATCGGTTGCTACCATGTGAACTAATCTGTTCAAAGTCACATAAAACTTAATTCCAGTGCCGTGGTGTTTCAAGTCATATAATAATCAATATATAATCTGTTGTTTATGTTTTTGGAGACGGTGTTTTTAGAAATGCCTAAGGCGGCGGCAACGCGCTGTAAACAAATAATTATTTGGGAACCTGCCTTTTTTAATGAATTATGCAATAGTACCTCCTGGACTGATGTAACAGGGAGCAAAGGGCCATCGTTGTCGCGTTCCCGCAAGAAATAAGCAACCAACCGCATAATGAATTCTTTCTGCCCTTCATTTAGTCGTTTGCCGGGCATTTTCGGTAAAATTTCAACTACAAACAAAAGCGCCAAGGGGTAAGACTATTTTACACACTAAATTTATCTGTTAATTTACCCCTTAGCTCAAATCTCGTACTTACCGATGGTTTCACTAACAAAACAATTAAAAAATATCCAAATTTATACTAAAACACAAAAATAAAATAATCAATAATAATTCCAGCAAACTGTCAAAGTCTTGTCAAAACATATATTTGGTTATAAACAGAGAGAACCCTAATAACTAAAGTGAGAGAGACCTATCAACGTTAATTTTTGAAGACTGTGTTAGTGGCGCGGCCTTTGGCGTCTAACCCGAACTATGAGCGCATTATCGATATAGTAAGTTGCATTCATACCTATATACTGGCACCAAAAATTTAAAATTTGTATATTTGAACCGAATCTTAATCTTTCAAGTTTATAATAAGAAATCTTCGTAGTTTTTTTATACTATTTTGTTGACAACGAAAATTTATTATTAGACTTTAAAGCATTAAAACATATAAATAAAATACTGTGTAGGAACATAATAATTTATTTAACTCCATACTCCTTGCCATACTCCAACTCAAGGCTGCAATCTTCGGTGTCTTTTTTTATCTAACTTGATTGGGAGTGAACAGGGAAGCACGGTTGGGAGCTCGCACAGAGTATCAGTAGGTATCCCGTAGGTATTCAATGTTTTTGATAGTCTTTATTCTATAACAAGAACCTAGCAGTTAAAGAAAATAATTTGTATTACTGGAAATAATACCAGGTATAATACCTAGTCGTTCCATAGGTATCAGAAAAGAATGTGATGTTTTAAATTAAAAAATAAATTAGCAATGTACGATTATTATGTGCACTCACTATTACTATTAGGTATGTTAAAATAATTACCGAGATAAAACTTACCTTTAAAGGAAACGTTTTGTCTGGGTCTCAACCACAAAACAAAAATTACAAAAATGCATGCGAATAATCGTGGAATCTGAAATAATCAATAATGACAATAATCTTCTCTTCTGACAAGCTAAAAGAACAGGCACATTCAGTCAAAAACAATTTATTACTCCGATTTGCTCCGTTTATCAACAGATTTTCGTTATCTCCTTCTAGAGCTAAGAAATAGAAAAAGCTACTGACAATCTAATTAATCCTGTCAAATGTTTAACTTGCAAAGTTGAAAACTTCCTTTTTTGACCGCCTAAACGCTATGCGCGTCTGAAATGCCCTATTCCACAAACCCTCTCACTTTAGTTATTAGTTTCTCTCTGGGTTATAAATATAAACTGGAATGCCCCATTGGCCGCACTGCAAGCACACCAATGGACTGACGCACAAAAACGAATCAATCAAAGAAACGCGATATAGTATCGTCTTTGTCAATCACGCTAACATTTTAGAACAAGTAGGAGGAGCACAGGCAGATGATTAGACCGAGCCTTTAAGGTTTTAAACGTAGGTTTACGTCTGCGGTAAAAATTTACGTTTTTAATGTAAAAATGATAGCGCGCGTGTCGATTCTAACTTCATCAAGCGATGAATCACTCCCAAACATTCGTGGCGTTTACTTTAGCAATATTTGAAAATAATATACATGGTGGTCCGAATTGTATTCCGGAAACTTCAGCAGCATATTCTGCAGATAAAAATAAGTAAAAAAGTTTGTATAAATATAGGTACTAATATGCCTTTGAATAAGAAGACTAAGGAAGCAGCATATCAAAAATCTTAGGTCCACCGCGATGGGACTCAAATATGGCCGACTTAAATTCCGGTTTATCAGTGCCGTTCTAATTTTATTTGAAAAATGTAAAACTGTAATGTAGGGTAGACTCAATAATTTTTTTTATTTTACGTTGTGAATAAATGTTGGTAGTTATTAAAATTGTTATAAAAACATATTATTATAATAAAAAAACAGATAAGTTTTAATAATTATTTATTAACACGAACATCCGATTTTTTTACTACACCTATGTATATTATATAGTCACTTACTAGCGAAAAGTTGTTCCATTATTTCACTCGATTTTTGCCGAGATCTACCGCACGCTACACAACTAACTATTTTAGAGTCTTTTTCGATAAATCGCGATAGTGTCACTATTAATTTAAGTTCTGCCCCAATTTCGATCTAGATTTACTACCTTTATACAACTATCAGTAGTAGAATAAATAATAAATAACATAAAATAAGCTAACAATACAACACTGACAAATCCACAAAATTTCAAATCAAATTCAAATGTGTCAAATGAATCGTCAAACAGAATTGTCAAGAATCCCCACCCTAGAGTCCTTTTTCCGCCCACCATGCATGAATACATGGATAGCATTATGCTCCTTCCTTAGTCTTCTTATTCAAAGTAATAAGGTGGTAATAAGCTTAGTTTCGGAGATACAGGGTGGGGAATTTTTATTTAGATTTTTCCAAATGATTTCTGAATTAACGGCAATATTTGGATGAAGGGTGGATTTTGGGAGTTTTTTAACATGAGAAATTTGATTCTGATGTCAGTATGACTCCTACGTATTTTTTAACCGATTTCAAGAGTAATAACTTTTCGTCCGTACCTGTATAAAACTACTGAGTAAAAAATATACATTTACGATGTTTTTTACGTATAAAAGGTCTCTTGGCAAAAGTCGCTACGAGTAATGGTTCTCGAGATATTTGGTATCGAAATTATTAATACCTGTCATCATTGACATAAATTAAACACCTTGACTAAATAGTCATTAGACTGAAATTATAAATTTGAAATGTTTTTATGCCAAAAGTTTAACAGACACTGTTTTATCATTATTTTTTCGAATAAAAAATTATGATTGATTTAAAAATATAAAAATTTGCCAAATTTATTATTTCAGTCAAGTAATTACCTACTCAACGTGTTTATTTATGTTAATAATGACATGTATTGACTAATTCAATTCTAAATATCTTGAGAACGGTTGCTCGTAGCGATTTTTCTCAAGAGACATTTTTAACATAAAAAGTCATGGAAATGTATATTCACTTAGTAGTTTTATACACGTACGGACGCAAAGTTATTACTCTTCAAAACAATTTAAACACATGTAGGTGGCGCCCCCTACAAATAGGAATCATATTGACATCAAAAAATCAAATTTCTCATGTCAAAAAACTACCAAACAGAAAATTTCATCCCAATATTGACGTTACTACAGAAATTATTTAAAAAAAATTATTTGGAAAAAAATCGAAATAAAAATGAAACTTCTACACCCTGTATCTCCCAAACTAAGCGTTTTAGGACATACATTTATACGAACTTTTTTACTTATTTTTATCTACAAAATATACTGCCGAAGTTTCCGGTACACAGTTCGGACCACCTTGTATAAAATTTAGATAAAACAAATAATATAAAAATAAAACAAAGAAATAATAACTTATAAATTTTATTACAAAAAATGTATTCTTATAACTTAACATAGTCTTGCAATTAAATTAGTTTTAAAGTGTTAGAAACAACCAAACATAATTTTTTAAACTTTTTATCGTCTTTAGTCCCATACTCTCTATTCGCTGATGCTGTTCGTCGATGGGACGAATATTTTTTTGTTTGACGAATATTCTCTTAAATTTTTTACAGTGAACATATGCATATTTTCATCAACATATACAAATCAATTTTATTTTGAACAGGAAATCATTTTTAATAAATAAAAATGCAAGTAACCAAATAACAAACAGGATATTCCACTATTAAACTTCTTATAGAAAATTATCATTAGTCATTAAAATACAGACCACCGATTTATATGTCGGGGAAATACCGATTTAAAGGCCAATAATATTTATTTCCATAAACGAGCGTAGTTTATTCACGGTATATTTTAGCCTATTGTTGATAACTGGTATAACTTTTTTAGACAGGAATGTCAGTATAATAAAATTAGGTAATTTAAAAAAATATATCACAGTTTTTTATATTTAAAAATGGATAGGAAATAACAAACGGACAATATTACAAAGAAATAATTTCAAAAATGAAACTACTTGTTATTCCTTGCGTTGTAAAAAATTTAATTTTACCACTCCTTGATTGGCATTTACATTGAATAATTAACCCTTAGACACATTACTAACATTTTTTTTGCAAACTTTACTGAATGTTATTTTTTTTTTATTTTGAAAAATGACTAATAGATAATAAACTAAACGGTAGCTTTATTTGTAGGCCGGAACCAAACGTGAGAGCCATTGTAGTAACAGATGGTGAACGTATTCTGGGGCTTGGTGATTTAGGGGCATGTGGCATGGGTATTCCTGTAGGAAAATTGGCTCTCTATACTGCATTAGCTGGTATTAAACCACACGAATGTCTTCCTATTGTCTTAGATGTCGGCACTAATAATCAGGTTATTGAACACTTAATAGTTATTTCTAACATAGCATATTTATCGCTTTTCTTGTATATTTTTTATTATTTTTTGTTATAAAATTGAAATACTTTCTTGCACTTTTGACAGTATTATAGTAGTGTGTCTTACAGGTAGCGATATATATGAAAAATAAACAATTGAAGTGTTTAAGAAAGTGTTTCAGATAACAGTTATTTTTTATTTATTATTTGTTTAATGTTGGTAGACAATGTCTGATTTGATATAAAACTGTTATGTGGAACTTCCATTAAATAAAAAAATAAAAATGCCAAGGACATATCCTTGCATATGAGAATTTTTCCGATGAAGTGAATATCTCATATAATCCGCAGGTTTTAGAAACATAACAATATCATAACTATTTTATGGTACAATGTGAGTGTGGAAAGTCATAGGTCCGTAGGCTAATCATCAAATCTTATCAAACTTTCATTTTACTTGATGACATGGAGAATAGAATTATTAAAACGATTAGAAGGTGTCAAGAAGGACATCCCAAGGAATACCCTCCAAAATGTGTTTCATTCATATACAGGGTGGTCCGAATTGTATTCCGGAAACTTCGGCAGCATATTCTGCAGATAAAAATAAGTAAAAAGTTCGTATAAATGTATGTCCTAAAATGCTTAGTTTCGGTGATACAGGGTGTGGAGTTTCATTTTTATTTCGTGTTTTTCCAAATAATTTATGTAATGTCAATATTTGGATGAAAATTGGTGTCTGGGGGTTTTTTGACATGAGAAATTTGATTTTGATTTCAATATGACTCCTACCTGTAGGGGGCGCCATCTACATGTGGTTTTAACTGTTTTGAAGAGTAATAGCTTTTCGTCCTTACCTGTATAAAGCTACTGAGTAAAAAATATACATTTACGTGACTTTTTACGAAAAAAATCAACGAGCAACTGTTCTCAAGATATTTAGAACGGAAATAGGGGCAATACATGTCATTATTGACAAAAAATAAACACATTCAGTATATAGTTATTTGACTGAAATAATAAATTTGGGAAATTTTTATCATAAAATTATCTGCGAAAAAAATTATAAAACAGTTTCTGTTGAATTTTTGGCACAAAAACATTTGAAATTCATGATTTCAGTCTAATAACTATTTAGTCAACATGGTACAACATGGTACAGGTATTGATAATTTCGATTCCAAATATCTCGAGAACCATTACTCGTAGCAATTTTTACCAAGAGACCTTTTTTACGTAAAAAATGTCGTAAATGTATATTTTTTACTTAGTAGTTTTATACAGGTACAGACGAAAAGTTATTACCCTTCACACCAGTTAAATAATATGTAGGTGGCGCCCTCTACAAGTAGGAGTCATATTGACATGAAAGTCACATTTCTCATGTCAAAAAACTCCCAGACACCAATTTTCATCCATATATTGATATTACTTCAGAAATTATTTGAAAAAAAAATCGAAATAATCGAATTTCTACAACCTGTATCGTATCCTTCTACACCGTAACCGAAACTAAGCATTTTAGGACATATATTTATACGAACTTTTTTACCTATTTTTATAGTTTCCGAAATACAGTTCGGACCACCCTGTATATATAAATTCTTCTGTTAGCAAGTCCTGGCGCAATAGCGCAACTCGAAAATTCCGAATATCGATTAGCCCTGACTCTGAATATTAGCCATGATCGAATGGGAGCGCCAGGTGGATGACACTTCTTATGGGAGAACTGGAAATGGTTGAAAACTTGACTACAAGCGATTTTCTAGGAATCTTCCTTACCGATAAATTATTGACAAGAGTGACAGATAAAACCTTGACATTCTTTCAGTATAACTGTTCATCTCTTTTTCTTTCTAAAGTGTGCGTTGAAAGGAGACAAAAACAATTTTTTGTAACCCTAAATTTGTTATTCGAACACCACTTTTCTCCTTGTCGGGTCGTTGACGTTGACTTGTCGCCATTTTATTTCTTTTGTTTACAAGCTGCAGTTTGCTTTTAAATTGAATACATAAATTATTTAGGCAAATATAGGTTTTTGATAAAACTCCTTGGACTAACGTGTAGGTAAGTGTTGATAAATAAGTTTTTTTTCATCTTAACATGCTCATTGTCATTCTCCTGATTTAGGTGACAGAAAAGGATCATCAAATCAAATTGAATTTTATATTTTTTCATCCCAGGACCGATAATAAAATATATATTTTATGGATACCTTCCTAAATATCAACGAGATGAGCCATCGGAAGAAAGGGACCATAGTACAAAACAGAAGGGTGATCTTTTTTCTTTCCACTTAGGATATTGAAATTATTATATACTGTAGTCGTGTTCGGCATTATGCTCTGAGAAATATAGATAAACAAAGAACAACAGATATAAAGCATCCCAGAGGAAAAGAGAGGCAATACCTGTACTCTCTCTCTGATATTTGTGAAAGTTACGGCAAAGTATTGTTGTAAATGTCATCTTTTTAATCGACCTGAAAACTTCGAGCAAAAAGATGACACTTTCAACAATACCCTGACAGATATCAGAGACGATACAGGTTCTTCCTCTCTTTTCCCCTGGAATACTTTTAATTTATTATTCTTTGTTTATCTAGATTTCTAAGAGCACTATGAACGAACTCAGCTTGTATGTTTGAAATAATCGTCCAGCTGGCTTAAAAATGATGATCGATGACATTAATAATATAACAATATATATATACAATAATCCTATATAATTCATAGATGGCTTCATTTCTAAGCCATCTATGACGCCATTTTTTTCAGTTTTGTTATAATTAATTTTGTCTCTTGATCTACTTGTAACATTATTCTTTTAATTTTATTAATTTATTTTGTTGAAATTAATTTCTGTTGTATATTTGATAATGATATTAAACATATTTTTAAAAAATGGTGTATTTTTTGTGTTTTTATGTATGTCATAATTAAAAATAAATGAAGAATTAAAATTTTTTATTTTTTTAAACTTCCCGTCATGCGTTACAATCTAGTCCGTAGTTCCTACAAGCGATATTGGGGGCGCTAGTAGCAGTAGACTTGTCAACAGTGTCAAATTTAAACGTCAATTTCACTTTCCAATATTTAGCAAGGCGCTCGCACTTCTCCTTGTGTATGTGTTTTGTGGGGAGCGCAAACGAAAGCCGTACGAAGCTGTAGGAAGCCGTACGAATGACTGGCTGATGCTTGTGTCTAGTAACGACTTATACAAATTCCTTCAGAAGATTTATATACCCATTTAACCGACTCGGTTTCACAGAGTGCAGTTTGTAGTCGATATTCTTTAATTAATAAATATATGGTTTTATCGCATGTACCTAAATTTCTTACATGGGCAGTATTTCTGAAAAAATCTGCCATATCAGGAAGTAGTATAAGATCGGAACTGTTTTTAAAGCTAACAGCCCCTTAATGTCCGTCTTAATAAACACGAAATCAAAGGGTTTTCATAAAAAGAAAAAAATGTGTCTGTCATGGGTTGGGGGTCTACCATGTGAGTGCTAAATCTTATATCTCTCTTCACTCCTTCACCCTACATGAGGGTATGGTGACATCATGTGTTGATTCCCCTTACTTCATCGGAAGTTGTTTGAGAATGTTTCATATGTGAGACTTCGAGCAGGTTGTGGTTCACTTGGGTTCTGACTTGGTCTACCCATCTTTTAGGTGACCCTTCAGGTGATCGCCTTCCCTCTACCTTCCCCTCCACCACCAATCTCTCCATATGCATTGATGTTTGTTCAATCGAGTTCGATGGCATTCGCAGCAGCCGTCGATATTCCCACATCTTCAAGGCGTTTATTCTTTATTTATCGCTTTTCTTTAGGGCCCTGGTTTTAGAGCCATCCTTAGCTATAGGGAAAGGGAAAATAAGGGAGTTCGCAATGCGCAGTTTAGTGTTTCGTGTGATTGCTGCAGCCTTTCATATTTTGGTCGGCTTTGTTGTTGCATTCCTCGCCATTGTCACTGCGTTACTTTTGAAACTACTCGATAGCGTGTTATTAGTTCTGGTTTTAGCATTGTTGTTCTCATAGAGCTGTTTCATCAAATGAATGAGGTGAGGTGGAGTGCTCAAATCTTACATAGGGGAAACATAAAGACCACTAAAAATTAGACTTGAGGAACATTATGTTAAAACAATACATAATACAAAACAATACAAATCAGCATCACGTTCAGTGGTGAGAGGCTTGAGTTGTCCACGGCGAGCCTCACTATAAGTAATTCGGAAACGTAGTTGAGTAAATCAGTAAATAACAATGAACCGCGCTAGAAGATGTTCCTTAACGACGTAGTTATGGAAGTAATGGAAGTTCGATATCACAGTTTCAGTTTCAATTTCCATAAAAGTTAACCCTTTCAAATAATAACAATCTTGAATATTGATTTGTAGAATTTGCTGGAGGATCCATTATATGTCGGTTTGCGACAGAAAAGGGTGACTGGCAAACTCTATGATGATTTTGTCGATGAATTCATGGAAGCCGTAGTGAGACGCTATGGTCAAAATACGTTAATTCAGTTTGAAGATTTTGCCAACCACAATGCCTTCAGGTAAAAATGAGTGAGCAGAACAATGTACCGCTAGAATATTTGCTACAATACACACTATAGTATACACTGGAGAGACACCAGAGCTTCTCGTATTTTCGCGCTGACCGAAGTTATCTTCTAAACTCGCCACAATCCGCGCCGCAGCAACAAGATTTATGTCACTTTCAATAAACTTACACGAACTGATCAATCAAATGATTTCTAATAGACAGATAACACCACGGAAAAAAAGAGGTTGATAATGGGTTTTAACGATTTGGGTGAGGAAAAAAATAACATTTTCATTATTTTCAATAGACTTGGAAGAGAACAATAATTGCTTGTGATTGGTGTCATTTTATATTTTCATTTCCATAATGATTTAGCTGTTTTACTTATATTTTTATTAAGGTTAGATTAGATTTATCAAAAAAGTATCAAAACTTCCGTTATCGTACGAAAAGTTAAAATTATTTTAACTTTCTTCGTTGACGGGCTGGAGTAAAAAAAATTACGGATGAAAAGTGGCGCGAAAACCCTATGACCAATTAGAACGCCGTCGGACCATTGTATCAACGGATAACGGATGCATGAAAATCAAGCTTAACTTGTAAAAAGTAAAAAAGTTTTGAAACAAAAAAACTTTTTTAATAATTTATTCTGAATAGATTTAAATATCTTGCCCTATAAAAATTATAATAATTTTTCATTTTTATGTAAACCAATACAAGTATATAAAAATAATAAAAATAACGACGTATGGTGGATGCATGTAAACCACCAGTTATATTCTTATACGCTATGAAATCAGGCGTCTAAATGCAAAACCCGACAAGTCAACTGAAACAAATTTTACAAAATACACAAAAAATGATTTAAAATATTACCAATATTAAAAAGAATAATAAATCTAAAGCATTGAATTTATCCGGCGCATTATTTCTTGAAAATAACATGCATAAAAATCTAAGTCAAGTAGTTTTCTTGTAAATTAGGATTTTAATTTGGACATGTCGGGTTTTGCATGTAAAAAGCTGTGACATGTCGGGTTTTGACAAAAAGCGTTGTTGAATGCAATTAAAATAAAATGGATTGTGATATTTTATTGAAAATATATTGGAAAATAAACTATGCAAAGAATAATAATACACACAACTTTTAACTAAGATTAAACATCAAAATTTAAATTTACAGCAGAACAAAACTTCTTCAGTTAGTTTGTCAGGTCACATTGATATGTGACCTGATTAAGTTATTCCTATTGGCTGACGAGGTATATGTCGGTGTTTGAATTTAAATCCTGATAGGACCTGTCGCTTTTTCAATTTAAACCAGATTTTATATATTAAATATCTTATAGATAATATCGATATTTCCAAGAAAATATTATGAAATTTGATAGTTCTTTGGATAACGAATAAAATGGTGTATAGAACTCAATTTTCAAAAATTTGTGACTTGTCGGGTTTTGCATTTGCCTGAAATATTATTTTATGTGGAATACAATAGTTAGGTGCAGTAAATTTTACCTTTTGATCTGTGACTTGAAGATATTTTCAATATTATTAATGAAGTCAAACAAAATTAATATATCTAATATGAAATTCTGATATGTTTACCTAATATCAATTGAAATAAATAATGCTTTTGTAGATTGTTGAAAAAATACCGAGATTATTACTGTACCTTCAACGATGATATTCAAGGAACTGCAAGTGTAGCTGTTTCTGGTCTTATGGCGTGTAAAAGAATAACAGGAAAGAAATTCTCTGAAAACACTTTCTGTTTCTTAGGAGCTGGTGGTGCCGCTTTAGGCATTGCTGATTTGATAGTACGAGGTACGATTTAAATTTATATATCTTAAAAATTCGAATATGCAGGATGATTCACGGTGGATTGTTGGTAATACGTTTATAGTAAACGGACTTTTTGAATTCTTACATCAACGTACATATGTAAAAATGGAACATATGTATTTAATTTATTTTTTAGCATTTCGGTGTTGTCACTCCCTACAAAAATAGTAACATATATATTTCTTATTTTAAATGGAAAACCGGTATAATCTGTCCAACGAGTAAGGAAAAATTTCGACAGACATCCAAATAATGACAGAAAATACAGGATGGTCCATCGAAAACGTTCCGCAAGGTATAACAGCCAAGATATTTTTTTTCAAAAAATCCAAAAACACGTCAATTTTGTTTGTGAGGGGACAACTTTCGCCCCAAAAAGGATTGCAAAATCTTCAACCCTCTAAGCCAGGGTGTCATCCCCCACCTTTTTTCAAATGGGAAGGGGGGTCAAGTGGCGCCGCCATGAAAAGAGCTTTCTATTATCTATATTTCCCCGCTTCGTTTTTGAAAATCGGTCGAGTCATTAAGAAAATATGAAGGATTGAAATTTGAAAAGTTTATTTAAACATTTATCAGAGTAAATGATAAGGATAAATTCCTTCGACCAATTTGAGTTTTTTTCTGATTATTTCTAGATGTTTACGCATTTTTCACTTGCCACAAGGTTGAAGGATCTGGTGCGGTGGTTGCTAGATAGCTGTTCTGTGACTTGTGCGTTGAAGTTCTTCTATATCGTTAAACTGGCCCACAATAGAATTTACAAAAAGGCCAGCCCACACGTTCAATTTCTGAGGGTTTTGTGTATGCACCTCGTGAAACACCCTGGGGTTGTCCTCAGCCCAGTACCGACAGTTGTGCCGATTATCTACACCGTTCAAAAAGAAAGTACACTCATCCGAAAAACACACATTGAATAGGAAATTATTATCATTCGCCACTCGTTCACTCATAGTTTCACAAAATTGCAAGTGACGATCAAAATCATCTTCGTTGAGTTCTTGTACCAACTGAATTTTGTATAGGTGGAACTTGCGTTTTTTAATATCCTTTGGACACTGTTTTTATTCATAACGGAACCAGTTTCGCGAAATTTTTATGCCATCCTGACAAACGCCTTTATGACACAATAATTGTGCCATAAAGGCGTTTGTCAGGATGGCGTTCATTGAATATCTGCGCAACCCGATTGCCACATTCATTATTTTTAAAATAAAGTTCGATTATTTCCACTTTTTCTGCAAGTGAGTACACCATAATTGTTAAAAAGTTTAAAGATATTGAGAAGAACTTCAACGCATAAGTCACAGAACAGCTATCTAGCAACTACCACACCTGATCGTTCAATCTTGTGGCAACTGAAAAAATGAGTAAACATCTAGAAATAATAAGAAAAACAGCAAATTGGTGGAAGGAATTTATCCTTATTATTTACTCTGATAAATGTTTAAATAAACTTTTCAAATTTCAATCCTTCGTATTTTCTCAATGACTCGACCGATTTTCAAAAACGAAGCGGGAAAGTATAGAGAATAGAAAGCCCTTTTCATTGCGGTACTACTTGACCCCCCTTCCCATTTGAAAAAAATTGGGGGATGACACCACCGTTTAGGGGGTTGAAGATTTTGCAATCATTTTTGGGGCAAAAGTTGTCCCCTTCACAAACAAAATTGACGGTGTTTTTGAATTTTCTGAAAAAAAATTACCCTGGCCGTTATGCCTTGCGGAACGTTTTCGATGGGCCACCCTGTACAATGTACGTATGCATTAAAATGACGCAACTGTCTTTATCGTGGATTCTCTTCTTGAACAGACGCGAAGAGATAGGAAATTGTGTCTCTGAATGTTCACAACAACACTATTTTACACTCTCCATAGACGTCTAACTTACTATCGCCGTGAATCACCGGCATCCTCGAATCGGTAGTTCCGGAATCGTCCTGTTTACATAATATAACAAATTTCCATTATCTATTCCCGTATAGCAATGGTGCTTGAAGGTAGTTCAATTGAGGATGCAAGGAGTAAAATATGGATGATGGATATTGATGGCCTCCTCGCTAAAGAGCGAATCGAAGGAAATCTTGACGGCCATAAGAAGTATTATGCAAAGGATCATCCACCTACAAAGGATTTTGCTGGTTTAGTTAATGAAATCAGACCGTCAGTACTAATAGGTAAGTCGGTGTTAATACGCGATACTCCTCAACGGCTAAAGCACTTTGTTCTGAAATTTTTGTTTTTGAAAGATTTTTTTAATTGGCTGACATTTGGTAGAGATTCTGCAGTATTCAAACCATAGACTTAAAATAAAATATAGACTGAGCATCTCATTCATAAATAGCTGGAACATGCGGTCAGACACTGTCTTGTTATTGTTGTGTTATTGTTTTAGGTTATAACGAGTGCGACACGAGCGATAGATAGGTTGTCTCTGTCGTAACGGTCGTTCCCTGACGACTCTGCCGAGAAACACAACACTGTCTTTCGTTTCTCAAGTACACCTGAACTCTCCGTATCATAGCCGGGTAATTTTTTTTATTTTAATGAAGCTATAATTAAATTAAAAATATATCGTATTTAAACTTTTTTATATTTTATTAAGATTTAGGACAGGTTTTTTAAATAAAAGTTTAGAAAAAACAATTTAGAGGCCAAAAAGGATATAAATAATAATATACACGTTATAGAAGAAATTTTATAATCGAAATTACGTAATTTTTGAAATTAATAATAAATTATTAATTTTAGTCAAACATTTACAACCCCTAATATTGATCAAAACAGGATCTATTCCACAGATATAATAGAATCGGCGACAGGGAGAGAAAAAAATATGATTGTTGTAATTTTTTTTCTGGTTAAGTGATGTCTTATTATGTATATTAGAGAAAACATAAATCTGTTCCATTAAAGCAAGGAAGGTGATAGGAAGTGGATAAAATAAAAACTACATTTATTTAACTCGGTACTGTCTTTATTATACCGGGTGCGCCCCAAAAGTGGCCCATCCCCATAATTTTTTTATATTTTCAAATAAAAAAACGAGATTTAGTATGTTAGTATATGAAATAAATTAGGATTGATTGACGCATTCAATTGTTTTTGGTCACTTCCTGTTTCACCGGAAATGACTATAACTTTTAATTTTTAAACGGCACCCTCGGTATATTTCTACTTTATTCGATAGAAAATGACACTCTGAGTAAAATGACATATCATATGTCAACTTTTGACATTTTCGCATATGATTTAATTATAATTGTAACACGCGGTTCATAACGACAATTTGACTCGAAATATCAAGTGTGTGGTATCAATATATTCATAATAAAATGCTTTTTCCAAATATGCTAATGAGTCACCCTTGTTCCATTTGAAAAAATTGACTTATGTATGATTAAAAATACGATTTGTACATCTTGTAACCGGCCTATACAAGAGACGAAATCTATTAGACGATCAAAACTATTTTTCCAAGGCTCCTTGATTAAAACTTAGTGTTTTTAACAACACCATGGCACCCTGGATTGAAATTTAAAATACGATTTGTTTTTAAGCGACAATGTCAAAAGTTGGCATATGATATGTCATTCTATTAAGAGTGTCATATTTTATCGAATAAAGTAGCAATATACCGAGGGTGCCTTTAAAAATCAAAAGATGTAATCATTTCGGTGAAAAAGGAAGAGGCCAAAAACAATTGAATACGTCAATAAATCCTAATTTATGTCATATGCCTACTAACATACAAATCTGTTTTTTTTTTATCTGAAAAAATAAAATAGTTATAGGAGTGAGCCACTTTTGAGACGACCCGGTATATTAAAAAATATTTTTTCATAATGTAATATCATTTTAAAATTCTTGTATGTTATTTTAGATTCTGAAGATAATTTTAGAATAAACCGGAATATATTTTTAATAAAAACATTATTAATTATTAACAGGGTTATAATTATGATTTTGCTACAATGTAAGTAAGTAAATAATGTAATGTAAGACAAAAAATTCAGATTTTACATTTTACTAAAATATTATCTAAATAAGCGCCTTTCTACAACAACGCCACTGACTCTCAATGGGTAAATTGAGAGTTGCCTACCGGTCGAAAGTCGTTTCAAGACTTAAATGGATTATTTAAGTCAAATTTCTTGCAAATTTGGCACTGGCGAACCATATTTTATAGTTCTTGAACAGAAAATGTCAATAAAATAAACACTTAAGGACTACAAGCTAAGAAAATGCGTTAAAACAGCCGGGGACATAGTGGCAACAAAGCTTTACCGCACACGTGCGACGCGTACTACAAGGTAATAAATGAATGAATAGGCTCTCTCGCCTCTAATCGGTGTTGTCATATTATAAAGAACTTATCCTTTTTAACAGTATCCGACTTATAATTTAGTAGTATAAGGACTATTTAATACATCTATGGAATATTTAAACCTACTCTATTAAACTGTAGTATTAATATCTCAATATATGTGTGTAACAAGAAAAAAAATATTGATAATATTAAAGACGTGACAACATAGGCTGGATGAGGAAGGCTCGGTCGACTGTACCCAGAAGTAAACATGTATACAAAAAATATTGTTTGACCGCGTTGAGATGTAAATAGTGTAGTCTATATTTTATTTTAAGTCTATGATTCAAACTAATTCACATCGACTGTTGTTTGTTTTAGTCTGATATGTATCAGTTTGTGGTATAAAAAATAATTTAATTAGTTAGATCTATACAGGGTGAGTCAACGATAGAGTAAAGTCCATTATCTCATTTGTTTCGAGGATTACAAAAAATGTTTAATATAAAAGTTATAGGGAAGGTTAAGATACACATTTTAAAATTATTGTAGAGTATACAGGGTGCCTCAAAAAAGTGTGGCGGATATAACATATATTTTTTTAAATGCAACACCCTATTTTTTATTTTATTTTTAGATTCTGCGTAAAATTCCATAACTTTTTTATACATAATGTTATATACCTAAAATTAATAGTTTTTGTAATATTTAAATTTGTTTAAACAAATGCTAAATTGTAGTGTGATAAAAAATTGTCAGTGGTACCATTGTTTCTGAAGTTGCAATACCAAAATTTGGTATGAGAGTTTTATAAAGATGAAAAAAAGGATATATGTAAAGATATTTTAGTTAAATGCTACATGGTGTTCAAAATATATTTATGAATTTCAACTACTTCTTTCAACAAAAAATCTCAAATTTTTCAAATGGTACACCCTATATATTTTCATTTTTTCTGATAGATTTTGCAAAGCTCTTCAACTTTTATTAAGTATGTCACATACCTATTTTTAATAGTTTGCGATTTATTCCAATTTTTTCTATTTTTACACTAATTTTTAATACAATTACGCTATAACATCATAGTTGCCGTGACAAAACGAAAGTATTTACTACTTATCTTTAACAAGTAGTTTAATAATTAATTGCAATAATTGTTATTATTAGTTAAAATTAATTAAATATACTCAAATCAACTAAAATCGTAATCGTGAATTTCTTGTCTATATATATGAAAGAAAATCTATATTTTGAAAGATAACACTTGGATTTTCCGCCGGGGCTAATAGCCACAGATTAGGGTAATACTAACTAGATTATCTAATTGTTGACGACTACCGATATAGGAATTTTTTTCGACATACAGTCATACAGTAAAGTTTTTTTCTCGTAGTAATTCTGGTTTATAATTCATTTCATAAAGCTAATATTACAGCTGCGTAACCGTCCCATTACACACTGAAAATAATATAATATAATATGAAAATGTTTTCTAGATAATCTACATCTATTCTTATAGTACTTAGCAAAGTACTATGTAATATATAGTACTGAGCCAAAAAAATATGTTTATCTTGGCTTGTTCGTGTATATCAGTCACATTGACTAACTCATTTTCAGGAAACTCTGTAAAACTATTATCTTTACCTCTACCATTTATACTTATTACAACAAAGTAAACTAAAATTCACGTTTTGTTCTTAACTTGCTTAACAGACATGTGAAATTTTGATCATTATTATTTTTTGACATGGCAACTATGATGTTATAGCGTACCTAATTGTATTAAAGATATGGTAAAAATAGAAAAAATTGGAATAAATCGCAAACTATTAAAAATAAGAGAGCTTTGCAAAATCTATCAGAAAAAATGAAAATATATAGGGTGTACCATTTAAAAAATCTGAGATTTTTTAATTTTAAGTAGTTGAAATTTATAAGTATATTTTGAACACCCTGTAGCATTTAACTAAAATATCTTTACATATATCTTTTTTTTCATCTTTATAAAACTCTCATACTAAATTTTGGTATTCCAACTTCAGAAACAATGGTACCACTGACAATTTTTTATCACACTGCAATTTGACATTTGTTTAAACAAATTTAAATATTACAAAAACTATTAATTTTAAGTATATAACATTATATATAAAAAAGTTATGAAATTTTAGACAGAATCTAAAAATAAAATAAAAAATAGGGTGTTGCATTTAAAAAAAACATATGTTATATCCACCACACTTTTTTGAAGCACCCTGTATACTCTATAATAATTTTAATATGTGTAGCCTAACCTTCCCTATAACTTATATATTTAACATTTTTTTGTAAACCTCGAAACAAATGAGATAATGGACTTTACTCTATCGTTGACTCACCCTGTACACAACAACCAGAAATTTTATTATTTCACATTCCAATTTATTTCTTTGAAAATACCTTGCAATACATCATTAATAGGCCCATCCCCATCTAGCCAAATCCATATAGGCACAATATAGGTACTTTATGTGAAAAATAATTTTGACATATCTATTATGGCATGCCAAATAACATAGGGATTTTAATTGCCCTAATGGGTACATTCGGGAGACACGTACAGTTCACGTACTGCTCTTAGTAGTGGTTTTGTATTTACCGATACGTTCTCTGAAAACGATTTTTCTCCTTATAACAGTCACCTTTTTTATTAATTTTTTTAAGTTTGTATAATAAATTAAGAAATTTAGATTTTTAAGATTAAATTTGTAACTAACCCACTGAAACAATAAATATGAAAAGGAAATATATTTCAGCAGAAACATCGAAGTTTATTTAATAGAAATAATACAACAGCCCTTCAAAGGAAACTATTTATTTAGATAAATATAATTTTGAACAAACTATAGTCGCAAATATTGCTAAAATGTTATTAATCTGCCCTATTTTGTTTATTTAAATGTTCTGTCAGATTGTTTTAAAATAGTATTTCGCTCTTTTTCAATTTCATTATATTTTTCCAAGGCTAGCTCTCGAATTTCCTCAATTTTTTTGTCTTCGGAGTTACAACTTATGGAGAAGTAAGTAATAGCCCTGCTAATATCTCATTTTGAATTATGGATGCCTCATTATTACACTCTTTTAAAATATTTTGACTTTCCTTGAAAGAACTCAATACTTGTGGCAAAATATGTGTTTTGTCTTCTAAATATATCGCGGAAGTCATCATAATTATTGCATATAATCCTTTCCCCTTAAAATTTTTAAAAGTAACATGTCCTCTAGAAGCAACGGATATTAATAGCAGTGCCATAAATGGTAACCGCTCCCGAACGTGTTCACAAGGTTAAGCCACAGCATAAGAAAACAAATTGTTGTCGTAACGTACCGTTCAACTGACGTTTGAAGAACCGTGACGCAACTGTTATGTCTCCCGAATTCATGATATCATGATTATGATATCAAACGGTATGATAAAAATTGCGTGCATGCTGTGTATGCCAAATAAAGTTTGCACCAAATTGGAAAACAATAATGAGTTAATTAAATAAATTTTATAGTATACCGGGTATTTCTCAAAATTGGCTCGCTCCTATATGTTTTTTCAGATAAAAAACGAGATGTGATACATTAGTATATGACATAAATCAGGATTGATTGACGTATTCAATTGTTTTCCATCACTTCCTGTTTCACCGGAAACGACTACAACTTTTGTACCCTCGATAATTTTTAACTTTATTCGATAGAAAATGAACTCAACGATCGAATTACATATATGTCAACTTTTCACATTTTCGCATAGGGTTTATTTGAAATTATAACATGAGGTTCATAACGATAAATACTTTTTCCAAATATGCTAATGAGCCATCATCATTCCATTTGAAAAATTGAGATATGATTAAAAATACGATCTGGGCATCTTTTAACCGGCCAGGACAAGATACGAAAAACATTAGACGATCAAATATATTTTCCAAGACTCCTTGATTAAAAATTAGTGTTTTTAACACAACCATGGCACTCTAGATTGAAATTTAAAATACGATTTTTGAAGTGAAACATCTTTACGCGCGCTGGGAGAAAAAATTCAAAGCCGTGGCACGACACGCGACACAACATGCGAGACATAGTTCAGGGGGAGACACAAGTCAGAGATACATCTTCATCAGGGTGGGACTAAAGATTTGATATTGAAGAAAAATGTGGGTTGACTTTGGCATAATTGGGCACGGGCTACAGGATGACGCCCTCGACGTTTCGAACCGATGCCTCTAAATGGACGGAAATCGTCAGGATTTTTCTCTTTTAATTATGGGTCGATTGGAACCAAACTTGCCGCGAGGATAGAGGTATATGAGAGAGTACCTCAGACGATAGAGTCCTCAGACGGACAGATGGTAATTTTAATAGAAATCTTGTGAAAGTGAATCAAATTATTAATTTATTACTTTTTCAACATTTCCATCTACACTTTTTCAAACATGTCCTTCAAATCCTTCAATTTAATAGCTGTTAGTAAGAAGTTTCACTTCATATATACGCACATAGTGCTCACACTTTTTTAAGCGAACATTTCAAAAGTTGACATAGGATATGTCATTCTATTTAAAGTGTCATTTTCTACCGAATAAAGTTAAAAAATATCGATGGAGCCATTTAAAAATCAAGAGTTGTAGTAATTTTCGGTGAAACAGGAAGTGCCTGAAAACAATTGAATACGTCAATTAATATGCCATATACTAATATATTACCTTAAGGGTGAGCCACTTTTGAGAAACACCCGGTTTTTATGTCATGTGCCAAATGTTATAATAGCAAATCACAGAAATATCTATTGTCAAGTGGAAATGTTATTCAGAATATAATTTTACACCTACATACCAAATGTCAAATATACAAAAGCTTTCATAAAATATAATTTTTCATTTTTAATATATTTTTTTTTATTTTTAAATATAATAACAGTTGGGTGTTGGAACAACAGCAAAATAAAACAGTATATACAATTTTACAGCTACATGTCAAATTACCATAAATATATAACTGCTTTCCCACTTGACAATTTTGTATTAACATTTGTCTATTTTAACTTAAAAGGGTCTTATTTTAAGATGAAGTTAATTTCTCCTACTCTTTTTTCTTTGCGCTACAGTATTTTGAAAAGAAAATACATATATCTTACTTTATAGACCCCATGTGTATTATATTAAAAATAAAAAGGACCTAAACGAGTATTTGTTTTAAAACAAAGCCTATTACTATTATATGAAATTTAATATTCCAGGAGCATCTGCTACCGGAGGTGCTTTTACTCAAGATATTTTGACTGCCATGGGAACTTTTAATGACAGGCCTGTTATTTTTGCTTTGAGTAATCCAACAGCTAAAGCAGAGTGTACTGCTGAACAAGCCTATACTTTCACAGAGGTATTTAAGGAAGATAAAGGAATTTAAAAAATTAGTTTTTGTTCTTATAGGGACGTTGTATATTTGCAAGTGGATCTCCGTTTGCGCCAGTAAAAATCGGCAATACCCTGTTCAAACCCGGCCAGGGAAATAATGCGTATATTTTCCCAGGTGTGGCTTTGGGTATTTTAACATCTGGAATTCACCATATTAGTGAAGACGTATTCCTAATCGCTGCGGAAACTGTAGCCGAAAATGTATCTGAAGACGATTTATCCAAAGGAAGAATTTACCCGCCACTAAGGACGATCAGAGAAGTTTCGGTTCAAATAGCGATCAAGATTATCGAATATGCGTATAAAGAAAGTAAGAATTTCATAGTTTTAGATACCTAGTGCTTATTTTTAACAATATTGTTCATTTTGTCTGTCAGTCTCTCTTTGTTTTTGTTTCTTTGTTGTCTGTCATTTTATTTCAAAAGTATTTTGTCTGTTGATAATCTCCCTTCTCTCGTTGGAAAGACTTTACTAGAATTAAAAAGAGAACAAAAGCAATTCATAACAACAATAGGTTTGGTGCATTCTTCGCCTGTGCTGCCACCATCGGAAAGTACCGTAAATAGCCCACTAAACAAATATACGGATTTAAATAACGAGTACACGAAAAATTTGTTAAATTATTTGAAAAGTATTAGTAAGTGCAATTTGAGAAATTTCTAAAAATGGAAATCTTTTGATATTTTCAGAAGGTCTAACATGTATTATAATTTATTATACTCAAGGTAATAAAACTTTTTAGATTAGTAATAACACGACCAGCTGCTTCAACTATTACGGCTGTAGTAATAGTTTTATGCACCGGTTTTGCTAATTGGGACATAACTAGGGCTATCTAGACTGTAACGAAATTTTTTAAAGGTACATAATTATTATTTTAGAACACGTCCATAAAAAAAAAATTAAGTACTAATAATACTCTAATATTGATTAAATTATATTTTATCCTCAATAGTATATGCCTATTTAACTTTTTGATGGGCACTTTGTTTACTCACTTGTTTTGTTGAACTGCCTGAATCCATTGATTGCCTGAATCCACTGATGCATTTGATCAAATCAGTGTGATAAAACTAAAAAGTTATAAAATGCTGTTCCGGGAGAGTTGTATAAAGTATTATTCTTTTCGTGTTGACATTTTTTCGGCAATTTTATTATCATTTCAAATTGTCACAATATAACGCGTCGCACAGTTTGGTTTTTTTTACTTAATTTTTACTACTCGAAACGGCGTTACATCACAACAAAGTTCTTACCCGGAGAAAATGGATTTTATAGTTTCAATAACTGCACTAGTAAATACTTAAATATATGACTAAGCCACGATTTCAATATTATTTCAATGCGATCAACATGAACGATAGCCGGGACTGTGTGAAATACAGACATAGTATAAGGAAACTAAAAACTAGTAGTTTTACTCCTTGTCAAATCCTTTGTTCTTTTTCTGCCACTTTATATGACCTTGTTCTCGCCTCCCGTGACCACTGACGTAGATGTATAGTCGTGGTCTATTAACTAAGCAAAGTATAGTCGTGGCACTCGCCATAGTTTCACAGATATATATTTAGGAAAATATGAGTTCACAATAAAATAAAATAAAAAAAAATTGATCATCGAGTAAAAACTTCCTTGAAAACAGAATATTTTCATATTTTGTGTAGGTAACAATTCTTCTGTATCAGAAAATCTTCTGATGGGAAGAAATGTGGAAAAAATATATAATGACAAATTTTTTTATTATTATCTATTTCAGATTTCTTTTTTTGATTTAAAACAAGTTTAATTTTCTGTAGATAACTGGATTCGGCATAAAATTCTGCATATAGTACACTGTCTTTATTTAAAGCACACTGCGGTGTTCCCATTCTATTTATTATTTACTAAAACTTTGGTTAAAAACATTATATACGGAAAGTGGTAAAAACTAGAGTGAAATAACTTTATTAATACTTAGCTATGTTTTCTTAAACATGAAGGATACCAGATAAAATTCGTGTAGAAAAATTTACTTTATCGTATACAGGATATTTTTTATGGCGTCACCAAAATCGTAATATTTAAAATGTTGTATCTCATTTTTTTTTAAATGCAACACCTTGTATAATATTTTTTTTCTTTCAGATGTAGAATTAAAAGGTGAACATTTTTTGTATTTAAAGTGTTCTTAAATTTTTAGTCGTTTTGCAAATATTTTCTCTATTTCATGACATATGGGGTTTTCAACGATAAAATATCAGACAAAGATCATATTAGGTGGCTTTGATAAAAATTTACTGTTGAGCCATATGTAATATAATACTGCGAATATCTGCGAAACCGTTAAAAATTTAGAAACACTTTAAATAAAAAAATGTTCACTTTTTAATTCTGCAGCTGAAAGAAAAATAATATACAAGGTGTAAAAATTGAGATATACCATTTTAAATATTCCGATTTTGGTGACGCCATAAAAAATACCCTATATAGAATAATCTATATAGAATGATGTAAAATAATTTAAAAAAAACAAAAATAACTTTACCATAACTTTTTTTGTGACACCCTGTATATAACAAAATATTTTAGGATACGCCCCTTTATAAACATTGAAACATATGAATAAAACTTTTTTCACATCTTCGACAACGACGACGATATTGGACTTCCTCGCACTAATGGGCCACCCTGTATATTTACGGTGGTTTAAAGCTAGGTGTGGCACTTTTCTTCTCTCAAATATAAACCCAATATTTTGTCTATAATATTTTGAATATTGTTATATTACGACCACTTATAATAAAAAATAAATAAAAAAATATAAAAAATACAGTCCACTAAATTTATAAGAGATTATGCTATTATAAAATTCTTTCAATTAAAAAATATAAATAATTTGCGGAGAGTTTAGATGTACAAAATATTTACTCTAAAATTGATTCAAAAACCAATCTATCTAAATTATGTCGTAAATTATTATTGGAATGAAAATTTTATGGCAAATCCTCTGACCAAAAAATATTTTTATGCGCATATTTGAGACAACTTGTATATCTAAAAAACTATTTTTAAAATCTGCCCACATGCTAAAAAAATAATAACATTTAATTAATTACATAATATCTCAGCTTTTAAAATAAACAAATATAATTAAATGTTTATTGATAATTACTATCAATTTGCCGATTTACATCCGATGGAAATCTAAAAAAACTCAAAGAACAATTTTTTGAATTATTACTAGGTACAATTAATACCAGCACACAGTAAGGCACTAATTTTTTGTCAATCCGTCTCTGTGCTGGGACGCAACGCTCGAACCTCGCAGCTCGACGGACGGAATTCAACTGAAACGCTTTGCAATCTGTCGAATTGCGGCAGATTGCAGAAAATATTTGCGAGAGTGCAACAATCTTTTCCTTAAACTATGATACAGACTCGGAAAGTTCCGATTTCTGCCGTACTGTCGAAATTTTAAAAATCAACTGAAATGCACAAAGCCTATAACACAAAGACTTAAGAATCTTTAATATCTAAATATAACAACAAAATCCATTTCAGTTTATAAGAATCGCAACAATGATTATAGCAAACAAAATTAACATATCAGCAGCAGTCTTAAAAACAGCAGAAAAATAAACGGACTAGTAATTTGAACATATTTATTGCCAGTATCAACTTTGATCTTTCCGATATTTATCTTTAACTTGACACGTATACAATGTCCAATGTCCCCAAAGAAGTCTGCATCAAATGGAATTTTTACGCAGTTACTGCTTCTCTAAAAATTGAAATTTAGTATACTTGCGCGACTTAGTTTACCTGTCATCCTGTCAAATTTGTCACTCGGTTATTCAAATTTAGAGAAATTTTGTGCAAGAAACATGTTTAGTTTCACATTTTTTGTGAAACTAAACATGTTCACCAATGTTTCACCAACTTATCAGCAGTGGTTGACTAATAAAACAAATTTGTCTAACGGAAAAAAAAACTTAATGTTTCGGGAAGTATATCTCTTCCGGAAGCAAAAAATAACACAAAGAACAAAGAAAAAAAAATAATTAAAATATCTAAATGCAACTATTCAGAATCAATTCGACATTCGCTATAGGTTTTGCATCTAAATAAAAATATTTTGACGTAATCTAGATTACATTGTATGCTATTTCTAGGAATTGCAACTGTGTATCCAAAACCAGAAGATCTGCGACGATATGTAGAGGAAAGACAATACAACCACAATTACGAACCCTCACTGCCCCAATTATGGCAATGGCCTAAAGGACCCTACATCAAAACAAGACCCATGGAGCCAGCTAAGTTAACTCACAAATAACTCGTTTCATCTCATTAGCCCGTCATTAGATTTTCAGATAAAATATATTTATTTCCATAAATATTATTCATTTAAATTATTAATGTAACTTTCTCTAATAATTTTTAAAAGTATTAAATTTAGCCAGTAACTGGCTTAGGAAAATGTACTTATTTTTCTCTGATGTATTAAATAAAGTATTTATGTTTTAACTAAGAATTTTTAGGATAATATGTGACATGTATATTGAAAAAATGTTATTAAAAAACCTACGTGTCTGTTATTACTGTTTTTAATTGTATCTATCTGGTACCTTTGTATTTTACTGAAAACAATGAAATTCTCTCTACTGTGTTCTCCTAAAGTTCGTTCAACAACAGAAAGGCATTAGAGACACTTGCCTGTTATTTTAATTCAAATGCATATTTTTTTAATTTTCTCTGTTAAATTGATTTATAATAGAATACATATACTAGAGAAATGCCAGAGATTTCTGGTCTTGGAAGCCGATTTTCATGTGTACGAAGAGTACGGTCAACACGCTTAGCAAAATAAGATGTATTGAATAAAGACAAGGCAAGTATTTTCCCAAGCGCATAGAATCTAGCGTCAGATTAAGTGGTTACGTAATAAATACTTCGTATTTTTGCTCTCTCCGACTTACTAGATTGCCATAGCGATTCACTCCTATACATGTAAAGGCCGACCCAAGGTTTCGCTTGCTAAACCTAACCTAACCTAACCGAGCTGACAAATTGGAATTAAATTTCCCGCTGGGGATTCAGGTAGTAGCTCTGCTGTAAAAAATGTCAAGTTGCCACATTTATTTATTTATTTCCTGACCATCATTCGTTTTGACACTTTAGTTTTGTATTATGAGTTTTTGGTTTAAATAAATAGTGTTGTACTTTAAGTTTAATCTTAAAAATGTTTACTAGCAGACCTTGCAGTCGAACATTGTTCTTTTTAGAATCTCTCAGTGCGAAGTGTACAAGATAGCTTAATAGCAGTAAAAAAGTCATCGCAACTTTATTAGAATATTTTGAACGTGAAAACGCTAGTAATGGTCTTTTATGCCCGTTATGTGCTGTTAAGGAGGTGAGTTTTGTTGATGTAAATAATAACTGTTTATATATTTATAATTAATTAATTTTTGTTTCCTAAACTTAGCAAAACATAGGTACTCTAAATATCGTTGAAATCTGATTATCAGTTATAAAAATGTGTTATTTTTTTATATCTAGGGGCTTTATTTTTGGAATTTGATACCGTGTAATGGACAAACGAAGCGCTTTTGTAATGATAGTTTCGTAGATAAATTGTAATTATTATTTAGGTTCCAATATTTCGTAGTAGTTTTATGTCCAGGGAATATGGGGACGCAAGTCAGAAATTGCCATTGTGTACGCCAAGAATTATAATCTTATGAATACACAGTGTGTCCCAATATTCTGTGGACATAGAAATACTACGTATTTTTGGCATCAAAATAAGTTCATTGAACACACTTTACAAAAAGATGTAGTAAGATATGTGTAGTAAATACTAGAAGGACCAATTTACGTAAAAAAATCGGTCGTCGGTGGAGTTATGTAGGAGTTGTGGTAGTTTTCACCCTACCTGTATTTTTTTTTTATTTTTGTAGAAGCCAACAGCCAACTGTTACCGCGCTGACTATGCTGTACTAAGCAAAACATAGACACCCAAATCTCATTCAAATCGGAATAACGGTTCTTGGTTGGTTGGTTGTCTAAACCGCGTTCTGCCTCCAAAGTTGTTTTGTATGGCTCTGCTTCCTTGACGGTGCAATTTGCCAGCAAAATTAGATGGGAATACCACTGTCTAGCTCTAGATTATCCGGTAATCGCGAATGTTTCTTATGTTTCTTGAGGATGTCTGTTTTCTGTTGAACTTTTATATATTATTATAATTTGTACATATTTTGTTTGTCAATTCTACGTTAAATTAACAACCAATAATGAAGAACTGAACTCGGAACAGTACGGGTTTCGCAAGGGATGCTCCACTGTGGAGGCTGTTAAGAGAATTTTGCATCTCGCTGAGAGCGCAAAATGCAGCGTGTATACAGGCACAGGGAGACCTGCCCGATGGTAGCTTTGGACGTGAAAATGCGTTTAATACGGCCAGGTGGGACATAATTATAGAAGAGCTGGGGAGAAAAAATTCAGAAATATTTACTCAACATCATAAAGAGTTATTTCTCCAAACGGGTGGTGCTTACTGGGAGTGGTTACGGTAAGATAGTCAGTATGGGAGTTCCACTGGGGTCCGTTTTAGGATCTTTTTTGTGGAACATCCTGTATGATCCGGTCCTCGCCATCGATCAACCCAGTGGATCAACACGATAGCCTTTGCGAACGACTTAGCCATTTTGTCTATAGGTAAAGGTCTGGATGAAGCCAAGAAACTGGCAAGGATAACCGTTGATCATAAAAGACAGTGAATAGAAAGCAGAAGGCTAGCGACTAGCTCCTGAAAAGACCTGTGTTTGCAGAATGACCGGCAGAGCAAAACTGGTAGGGATTTTGGAGGTCAACATTCTGGAAGTGCAAGTGCCAATTAAGGATGAGATTAAATACCTGGGCGTCTGGACAAAAATGGCAACTTTGTCTACCACACTCAGATAAAGGCAAAGAACGCAACGGAGAGTGCAAGAGCCCAAACTAGGCTCATGCCGCACGATGGTGACGCCGGCACGCAGGATGCTGGCAACTGCACACGCGTCTGCTGTGTTGTATGCTGCGCCCGCATGGGCCGAAACCGCTCTAAAGGTGGCAAAGAATATCGACGCTCTAAACCGGGCACAGTGCTCCTGTATGTAAGCAGGGCAAACAGGACAGTGTCCACAGAAGCACTACAAGTGCTCGCTGGAATAATGCCTCTAGACCTACAAGCTAGATACAGGAGTGAATCTTACGGACTAGAAAAAGGTGCTATCAAGGCAAAAAAAAAGAAAAATTCCTGGAACTGTGGAGTAGAAGATGACAAAGCAGCGATCGGGGCGGCTGGACTCGGCGCTGGATACCAGACCTGAGACCATGGCTACAGAGAGTCCATGGGCGACTCACCTACTGCCTGGTGCAGTTTCTGAGTGGACATGGTACGTTTGCTGCCTATAGGCATCGCATCGGAAGAGCTACCTCCCCCACTGTGGAGCTTGTGGCGTTGTAGAATATGCCGGGCACGTACTATTGAAATGCTACCGACATGCGGCACTGAGAACTGAGACGGAAGCCAATGTGTTAATCGAGTCTGTGATAATCAAAATTAAGTTTAAGAACTAGAGCGTTTCAGTGTCGACGAAGTAACGAGTAAAGGTAGGAGTGGATGCATCCGTATGCCTCACTGCGATCGACATCCACACCTAGCATAAGCATAGGGGAGGAGTTTAGTGGGTATTAAGCTTGATTTTCATGCATCCGTTGTCCGACGATACGTTAATACGATATTAATTTCATTGGTTGTATTTAAAGGCTTCGATTGGTTAACCGTTTCTAACCAACCAAAGTCTTTCAACCAATAAAATTAATATCGTATCATCGTATCGTCGGAAAATTAATATCGTATCATCGTATCGACGGATGCATGAAAATCAAGCTTTATGCGGCTAGTATCGCATTTGCTGTCCTCCATCCTTTAGAACTTTTCTTTAATAGCCATAAGTGGGAACAAACACTAGAGGCGCCACCGGTCATCAAATGGTGTAAAAATTGCGAAAATTTAATCATCTAATTTTGACACAAGGGGTCAACTTTTTTACTTTTATTTCAATATTCATTGTTTTCAAACTATATTATTAGACTTTGTTGTATTTTGTGAGTGTATAAATGTTTTCTTAGTACAAAGTTGCATTATATTAATTTAAATTATATTACATACATATTTAAAATTCAAATATTATGACTTATATGTCAGTTGCCGTCTAAAATGTCATCTTGATAACAAAAAGTTAGTTATTATCAGAAATAGTTAAAATCATGTTAAAATATTAAAATTTACAAGTTATAATTAGATATTTTCATAATGGTACAAAGTAATGTTGATATGCAGGTCCAAAACAAAAAGTGCTGTTATATTTTTCAGTTTTCGTTGTCAGCCGCGGAAGTTTCAGTGATCTTAGTGTTGTCGGATATTTTTATTTGTGAAATAGAAATATTGCGTTTGGATTGCAAAACTAAAAGTGGAAGTTTTATTGCAATGTAAGTAAGCGTTTGTCCATTTTATATTTTACTTTTTTCATATCTACGACAAATATACATATATTGAAATTTAACAATTTGTTTTGTTTAAAAAATGTTAGAAAACAAGCCTGTAATCCTGTAATTGACATAATTGTAATGTAATATATTCCATTTAAATGTAATATATTACTTTTTATTAATTACTTTTTACTACAATTAAAAAAAATAAATTTAAAAAATATATTAATAATATATACAGGCATTAATTGAATTTTTTAGAGTGCGAACGAACACGAGAGGCGCTTTATTATTTATTTCCATTTCTTAACATGACAGGTGAAGTTCTAAAGGGGGATGTTTTGTGATGTTAATTTAAATTTTATTAAGCTTATTTGTCAAATATCATTTTTGTGTTACTAACATAAAATTCCATATATTTTTGCTAACTAGATTATTGGCGCATAACTTACGCCTACATATACGCCTACATCATGTGACAAGAAACATTTTTTGACGTCAGCGTCGGAATTACATATTTTTTCTTAAATAAGTATGCACAGTGGCGTTTTTTTACAAGGGACAAAAAATGTAGTAAATGCTATGAGAATCATTTTACGAAAAAAAATGAGTGGTCGGTGGAGTACGAAAATATTTATTCTAAAATATATTTAGGGGTCGGGGTAGTTTTCACCCTTCCCGTACTTTTTCTTGATTTTTGTGAACGTCAAGTGTTAACCCCAAAAAACAAATCTCATTCAAATCGGAATATATCTTAAATCTCTTAAAAAATGTGTTTATTTTTTTTTAAATTTGATGCCCTCTAACGGATAATCGAACCACTTTTGTATAGAGAAAAATAATTTACCTAAAAACAATAATAATTGTGTCCAATGAACTTATTTTGATTCCAAAAATAAGCAGTAGTATATCCATGGAATATTGGGACACTCTGTATATCAAAATAAATCATTTTTGAATTTAAAAAGTTGCTGTGGTGGTGCCAAAATTAATGAGAAAAAAATTATTCATTAAAGTGTAAAAAAGCATAAATAAACATATTTTAATTTAGAAATAGGACGCG